AAAGGACAAGGTTGCGGCTACAAGCGGCCAAAATGAGCTTCCTCCGTAGGGTGGCCGGGCTCAGCCTTAGAGATAGGGTAAGGAGCTCGGTCATCAGGAGGGAGCTTGGAGTCGAGCCGCTACTCCTTTGCGTCGAAAGGAGTCAGCTGAGGTGGTTCGGGCATCTAATTAGGATGCCTCCTGGCCGCCTCCCACTGGAGGTTTTTGCAGGCACGTCCAACTGGGAAGAGACCCCGGGGAAGACCCAGAACACGATGGAGGGATTACATCTCCCAGCTGGCCTGGGAACGCCTCGGGATCCCCCAGAATGAGCTGGAACATGTTGCCGGTGAGATGCTGCCACTGTGACCCGACCCCGGATAAGCGGAGGAAAATGGATGGATGGATGGATTGATGCTAGATGCAGAAACCAGAGGTAAGTTAACAGTGAATGGTCTCCATCCTCCACTTCAGGCCTCAGCTTCCCCACACACAGAAGATACTGGCAGTCGGCTGAAGACAGCGACTCGGATTGAGACCGACAGCCTGTTTGCTGCAGGATTGTTAAACCTTTGCGTCTGGCAGGACTGATAAAGCACCAGACAGCCTTCCCTCGCGTCTGGCGGGGTTGGCGATAGGTAGCATCCTGCTGCAGAGCTTTTAAATTTTGCTTCTTTATTGATTTTCCTTTTGAGTAATAGTTGATGCTAGATGCAGAAATCAGAGGTAAGTTAACAGTGAATGGTTGTTATTCTGTTGTTTTTTTCTTTTTAAAGTCTAGATGTCTTTAGCAGACAAAGGTAAGTCAACACTTTATAACAACATTAACACATGTTGCCTCAAAGTCTCACTTAACAGTTATTCAAAGATTGTTCATTTTAATCACTCTCTATCTATTCTTTATAGTTAGGTGAAGGTGGCTGTACCAGGTATGGTAAAAATTACTAACGTTAAGAAAAGGTTTCCAAGTCTCTTTTACTCAGGTATCGATGGCTGTAACACAGGAAGTAACATCCAGGCAACAGAGAAGATGTGTTCACTCTGGACCAGATGAGAGGGATGGAGGACCACAGGACCAGATGGAGAGCAGCGGTCTCCTTTCTTTCAGTGGGCTGAGTAAGTAATCCCTCACTAAGACTACAGAAGTATGAGGAATAAGAATCCATCATTGGAGGCCAGATTCAACACAACAGTGTAAAGGTCGTATAGTTAAGTTTAAAGTATTCATCTCTAGTGTTTGTGTCTCACAGGGAAGGACTCCTCTGTGCTTTTGTTTCACTCCTGGGGCATCCGAGAGTGGATGTCAAACAACCACTGAACCACTCTCAGCACCCCAGTGAGTCCGAGACCCAGTGAGTACGGTGACGTCCTCCCTGCCCCGCCACCCCGTCACCACCCGCTCCACCCACCAGCCGAGAGGGCGAGGAGCGTCCCGTCCCCACCGGCACAGAGGACGTAGTTTGTCTCCATCTGCTTCTTCTGTGCTGGTGGGTTTGGGAAGCTCCTCACACACACACAGGAAGCAGTCAGCAGCTCTTTGCATCTGCTCACAAACCAAGAAGGAGACAGACGGTTCAGGCTGAACGAGAAATAATAATTCTAAAAGCTTTAAGCTATTTCATTTGTCACATAGAACACAGTCTGTTCATGTAAACTGTATGTACTGTATGTATACCGTTTACTTACTGAGTAGCACAATAAAAATCAATGTATGACAAACTTTCCAAATGCATCTTTATATTAGAAACAATATCACAATATTTCTGATATAATTCAAAAATCTGACAATGTATGACAATTAATATAAATATTGTGCAAGTGATAATTTAATATCTTTTTGATTTTCATTTGACTCAAAGGCATTACTGTTAGTACTGTTGAGTATTGATGAATATAATATTAATGAATATACATGTTGATATAAATAAAATGGAGAAAGCTATAGATTACGGCCCGACAACAATGTGAGAACCTCATTAATTATTATCATTATTATCATTTTTTATAACACTGCTGTAGTTTTTTTCAAAATGATCATATATAATTTACCAACAATGGAGAGGCACAGATAACAAAATAAGGAACTACATCGACAATAACTTCAAGGTACATTTGTGTTTTTACTTGGCAACAGTACTCTTGGTAAAAGAGTACTGTGAGGTACCTTTGACAAATTTGAGTCATTGCACAATATCAAAATGAAATTATGATCCGATAGGTCTGTCATTCAGATTTTTAGGCAACCAAGAGAACACATTACCCGTCACTCAAATTCTGAGAGAGCTCAGTGACAAAGTTGATAACGTGCAAGTTCAACGTCAATCGTTCTGCTGTCCTCGATGGAGCAATTAGGGGGTTCAGACTCTCCAGCGCTGTTATGTTTTGACAAACTGGAGTTCCAAACTTGTCATAGGTGACGATATTTGGTGGTCTATAGATTAATGCTCTCCTGGACCGTCTACAATGACGGGGCTTTTCTCTGTGGCTCAGATTGCACGGATGGTGAAATGGCATATTTTGCTAAGTAGTACTCATCTTCATCATCCTCTTCCTCCGCTTCATTAATCTCCTTGTTTGTCTCCACTGTCCTTCTCTTTGGTTTTACACATGGCTGCACTTGAGCCTTCAGTTGCAGGTGATCACATGGCAGTGGAAGATTGTGATGTGACATCCTGGACCTCCCTTCTCGGCTGTCAAGAAGCTGAGAAGGGAGACCTTGTCTCTAAGATAATATTTCCCGTTTAGGGATTTGTTATAATGATTACAAGCTGTTGAATTTTTTCCGACCGGCACATCTTTTCCCACTTGAAGAATAACTGTATGGATGGTGTCTTCCAAATTGCCTGGACCTCCACAAGGTGTCAAGTTCCTTACTAGTATGCGGTCACAGTGTGTAATGCTGAGCCTCTCACCTTGCTATCATAGGCTCTCTTGCTCCTAACTGTGGCCTTATGCATGTTTTCTCGTGTGATCTTGTATGCGTCCTCAATCCCATACTTCCAATTTCCCACATAGTCACTGTGATTCCCACTCCCTGGTTGTGGGATCCCACAACTCCTGAATTATTTTGGTTCTCAATGACACTTTGATCCTGAATGTAATTTACAGTAACAGGTGAGTGAGCCTTCACTGGCTGAATGTATCGACTTGACTTGCTGTGCAGTGCCAATGAGGGTTTTACTTGATAAGATGATGTCATAGTTTGCACATCCATGTTGTCATTATGAGAGGCTTCTTTCTTGACTAGAACTGTGTAACAGAATTGTAATCCTCCGTCCATTGTGGGTTTTCATCCGGCTCAAAGGTCAGTGTTGTGTTCTCTTCTTGCGGCATCTGAAGCAATTCAACCTGCCAAAGACACTGATGGTGCACTTCTACACTGCAGTCCATCCTCACCTCCTCCATCACCATCTGGTCCGCTGCTGCCTCTGCCAAGGACAAGGACAGACTGCAGCGTATTATTCGCTCTGCTGAGAGGGAGATCTGCTGCAATCTGCCATCCCTCCAGGACCTGTACGCCTTGAGGATCCCGAGGCAGGCAGCAAAGCTTGTGACCGACCCCTCACACCCTTCACACAATCTTTTTGAGTCACTCCCCTCTGGCAAGAGGCTGCGGTTCATCAGTATCAAAATCTCCTGCCACAAAAACTGTTTCTTCATAGCCGCAGCTGGCCTCACCACCTCCCTTATTCTGTCTATTCTAACCTTTGCACATCCTGCACAAAATTGTTATATTGTAAATACTTACAATGGTATTTTTCATCTTTATATTGTGATTTTTCTTGACTTTTTGCAGTACTTTGCTTATATTTTTACATCCTCTTAACGTGTTTATTGTAGCCGATGCACCAAATGTGGCCTTTGTCTTTGTGTGAATCTATTTTGGGAATAAACCTGATCCTGTGACTTCCGCTGTAATGATATATCCTGGCCACTAGAGGGAACTGTTCATCAATTAATAAGTAGGGGTTCTGTCCAAAGATTGCTTATTGTCACAGTCAGAATTTAAAACATTTACAGCATTAAAACATTTACAGCACGAAAACAAAGCTGCCCCACATCCCAGTGAAATAATATGCTGCAGGCTATGGCAGTGATACTACCAAGAGAGTCTCTTCATTAACATTAACTGAGGATCACTCCCTGAAATAAAGCAGATTTTCTCAAAATGATATCCCTTCCCATCAATGTCCATCTAAGCTATCGTGTTTTTTTCATGTGGGGAATTTGATTTTAATAAACACCAGACGTTTTTAAATAAATGTATTTGCATCAGAAGGAGATAGGACATTTTCTGTACTGACCTAAAGTAAGATTAGACGTTGTGTCCGCCTCTGGTTATTCTTGGAGTGGTGAAAAGCTAATCAACTAATTCAATGACAAAGCTAACTAACTAATTAATAAATATTTGAATGATGAAAAGTAATGACTCTTGAATCATTACTGAAAGGCAGAAAAGCCTAAGGCCCTTATAATGTGTTGTAAATATTCTAAAGATACCATAGATCGCAGACAAGCTGTTCTTTAAATGTATGAATACACATTTTTCTTTCTTTAGCCTTGACTGTGAATTTGTACTGTTTCATTTCAAATATCTAACAGCTGTATCTCAATATAGTATCCATCTCAAATATCTATCTCACTTCATGGATCACATTTATGTAATAATTATAGCTGGGTAGCTTTACTTTTCCCCTGATTGTTCTCTAATATCAATACTTAAACTGAATGATTTCCCACTATAGCACGTAGAAAGGTAAACTTTAAATTGCCTTGAAATTGGGCTACCAGAAAGCACAGTGACAAAATAGAATAAAACTCATTAAAACTCAAATTAACTTGATTTAACTTGATGAAAATAGAGAAAATCAGTCATGATAATAACCTGGTTGGCACTTCTCTGGTTAATTTGCATTTATGTTATAACTGAATTAAGAAAAGGCCTTCTTAGATTAATAACAAATCACATGTAATTAATTGTCTTGTTTGTTATATGAGGCCTACTAGACTCTTTGATATTTCGGTTGTTTTCCCAGTAGTTTAAAATCACATAACTATTTAAAGGAAGACGGCAGCTTTTCCTGTATTTTAACTTTTCTTTATTTGTTGGTATTTGATTATTTTAAACACTTGGCCGGCCTGACTAATAACCACAGGGCCCCTGGTTAGGGCGGCCCTGCTGATTCAGGCGGATAGAGAGCAGGAGGAGAAGGAGAAGGGGGAGGAGGAGGAGGAGGAGGAGTGAGTGTTTGTCGGCAGATAGTCAGTCAGAAGGACCGGAGTACCAGCGGCAGTTTGGGAGCGTCTGAGCGGGGAAATCTGCGTCCAATACGGGAGAAGTCAAGGGGGAATCCGCCATGAGTTGGGGAACGGAGCTCTGGGTATGTTTAAAGTCTTTAAACTGTGTTTGTGACGACCGGTTTGACTTGTTCGCGTTGTGTTTCGGCCCCGGTCAACACACACCGACTGTCGGGAAACCGAGTGGGAGGGAAGGTGCCGTGTTACCTTTTAGCTTTGTGTGAGGAGGCGAGCGGCTAGTGAGCGCTAGCTCTGCGCTGTTAGCCGGCGGAGGCTAAAGCTAAAAGCTAATCCGCGGTGCCCCTTAAGCGGCGGTGACAGCGGGCGGAACAATGGGCAAGACTGCAGACAGACGGGCACGAAAGCAGGGGCGGGGGTCCCGCTGCCTTCTCGGCCTGGTTACTCACCAACTTAAATCATATCTGAGCTCCCGAACTGGTGTTTTTTTGTTGGACTGGCAAGTTACGAAGTTGTATGTTGAGGTTTCATTTTTTGTGGAGTGTCACACCCTGTTTTTGAAAGGAGAAGCCCGGGGCAGGGACCCCCGGTAGCAGGGTGGAGACCCCGGGTAGAGACCACGGTCCGGCTCGGTCTACTTAAAATGAACCTTAACTTCAGAGCTGTGGGTTTCTCTGACTGACTGCGCATTGCATGTCTCTTTGTGGCCAGATATCCAGTCTTTTGTCTCAACTTCTACCTGATTAGAAGGAACACATGATACACCTCCCATCGTCTTTCAAGCTAGTAGAAGTCAACGAGTGGCTCCATACAAGTCAGTCATATTAGACTGAGTTACTTAAATCACTACTGCTGCTCTTTGTCACATGTCAGTGAGTGAACAAGTCCTTTCACATCTCTCCCCTCGTCTGTCTCAAATGAGATATTATCACGTGGTTAATTGTATAAGCATGGAGTTAATTGTGTTTTAAATATTTGTTTGAACAAGAGTCATGACATACTGTATTTTATGGGGTGTTGGCCATCACAGGCTGCTGTAACCAGAGAGGCAACCAGCAGCATCCTCTGTGTGTGTGTGTGTGTGTGTGTGTGTGTGAAGGAGGGGGAACTTAACCCTCCTTGAGATGATACTCCTCCAGCTGACCTCATTGGTTTATTATCTGCAGTTTAATATCAGCTAATTTGTTGCTTGTAACGCCACCACACTGCTATACAGACGAGGTCTGTGATTCAAAAGGATTGGAAGATCTCGTGCTCATGAACACGTGTGATTTGTCAGGATGTCGGTGGATCTCACATTCATGTTTTCCATTCACTTATTCTGAGAGAACGGGTGTGAACAAGGGTTTAAAGACTGCAAGGAGCTGTATTTGTTTTAGTCTGTTTGTAAAGGCGTGAATGTGGTTTCAGCCAATTTCTTTATCAGAAAAAGATAAGATAAAAGTTTTATGTTTCAGTGGCGTGAACAGGTAAGACTGGTCATACCAAGAAAACCTGACAACTTGTCCTCAGTAGAGCTGCAACTTTCTTTATTTTCATTGTTAATTCACCTCTTTGTGTTTTTTTTTTTTACCCAGTAATCAATCACAAACATCTTTACAATTTCCAAAAACTGTAAAAAAACGATCCATGTTTTGTTGATCAACAAATCAATTAATCAATTCTTCGTTTTCAGCATTAGTGTGTGCAGAAATGTTTAAAAATATCTGATCTTTTCACTATTTTTTTTTTTTTTTTTTTTTTTCAAAGGTTGGTATTTACATAAATCCAGCCAGAGACAATTCCAGATTAGAAGAAAATAACAAAAAAGTTAAAACTGTTATAAATACAAAATAGGAATACAATTTGATGAAAATCAATTCAAATTCAACATAAAAAAAACTAACATAGAAAATCCACCACCAGAAGCCCCAACGAAATACATGATTTTAATAAAAGTATCTAAAACTCAAAGTGTTAAGATACATCTTTACTCTATCAACCTGTTCCAGTGCGGCTCTGCGTCGTCTCTTCGTCAGCGCCGCAGCCAAGCAGAGCGCTGAGTGGGGACGCTCGCTGACGGGCCGTCATAATCCACTGATGAGATTAATGTGTTGGCTGTCTGATGTCAGATTACCGGTACACATGATTGGCTGCTTGATGTGAGATTACAGATTATTGTCTGCCTGGTGGGATGTAAAGCTGTTGATTGGCTGTTGTGTTTTACAGATGACTGACTGTCTAATGTCAGACATCATACATATTCTACCGTCTCATTTCATAAAGATAGTAGGTGCCTTTAAGGAGATAACTTTTATGTAGCTTATATGTTGTTTTTTTTCCTCCTTTTCTGTCATTTTGATCATCTTGTGATCTCTGAGGCTGTAAACCAATGTACTAATCATTCAAAGTATTTTTTATTAACGGCATCATATGAATAAAAAGCAACTCTCAAGGCAGCATTAGTATGTTCATGCTTTTCGCCCTGCGTTTTTGGCTCGAACCCAGGTCTTATGAGACGCCACAAAGCAAGCGAGGAACATCCTATTACCGCGCTGGCTTCCTGCCCGCCGAGACGCACAAACACACAAAGTAGGAAGTGTTGGTCTGAATTAAAGCTCTGTGTGTGCGCCTGCCAGGATGCTGCCACGCTGTGCTCCGGTCTGTCTGGTTGAGGTGAGCCGGAGGCTGGCTGATTGGAGCGGCCGAGTCTGACGGAAGCACAAGAGGCCGACGGGCAGTCGTCTCTGCCGATCGGCGAAACTGAAAGACGAGGACCGGGGGATAAAGGACCGCGAGGTGGAGGACAGAGGACAGGCTGTAAACGGCTGACTGGACTCTTGCTTTTACTTTGAAGGCTGTCAGCTGTTAAAAGCAGAGGAGACTTTAGACCAATTGTGGAAACTCAGTGAGCAGGGTCTCCAACACTCTTGGAGATAAAGGGGTCACAAGTGTTTGCTTTTCTTTCCTTCTTGTGGATTTTGTAAAGCCTCGTTACTGTGTTCCCTCAGGTGTCCTGTGGGAGGTCTTATTGAAGTGTGGGGTACCAGGGTTGTGTGGGAATCATTTGATACTTCTTCTGGGCAAGAAGATTGTTTGCAGTCTTGGCATCAGGTGGCCATCGGACTCAGACAAGGCGTGTTCGCCACTATTCCCACTCCTGTTTGTGATGTTTCTAGATGCTACCTGTGTTTGTTTGTGTGGCTCCTTGTGTCATCGACTTCAGGATCTGTGGCAGTGGAAGCTCTGGTGAGAGGATTCCTGTTGTTTAGTCAGCCTGTAGTCTGGTGCTTAGTAGGTCACAGCCAGCGGGAATGAAGTCGCGTTGAAGCTGAGGGCACTGGCTGCTGTATCCAGTCTAGCCAAGCCTGTCAACACACTGTGTGTAAGTGAAGGCGGCGGGGGGGGTTTGTAGGTGAGGGTAAGAGGACATGTTGTTGAAAGTGTGACAATGATCGCTGAAGCCCACAATACTTTGGATACGCCCTGCGTGTGAGGGCGGATGTCTTTCTTAATTAACAAAATTGTGCAAACGCACGTCTCCTGGAGACGGGGAGGAAGGTGAGGAAGAAGGTGTGAGAGAGAGAGAGAGAGGGGAGGAGGAGGCGGCGGCGAGGAACGAAGGGAGGATGCTTAATGATGGGAGAGAAGAGAGATATTTTCATACGTGGGAGGAGGCGGATAGATGAAGGTCCATGCACTGGGAGACAAGTTGACAGACACGATGGATTTAATAAAACATTAATGAACTCGGTGGAGAACTGGCTGCTGCAGCAGTAACGGGAGACATCAAGAATGAGCAGTAGAGCAGAATGAGTTTAGACTGTAAACAGATCCAGATACTATACAGCCATGCTAAGGCGGTGACAAACGAAGCAATTAACGACTAAAAGTAAGAAATGAGCTCTTACGGATGCTCTTAAGAATCTACTATTTAATTCTGTGGGACGTGATGCTAACACACACACTCACAAACATGGCTGCCTCCTTCCTCTTCCTCTTCTATTTCAGAATCTGTCCCCCCTTTGCTCCTCTGCTCCCTGTCCTCCCTCTGCATGCAGTCACATCTGTATATCCACCCAGCCAGCTGTTTGGCACTCGAGCTCCTCTCAGATTCAGGCAGCATCACATCTGTGCGCCTGTCAGGCTGATGCAGTGACCCTGGGTGAACCTATTTTCTGTCGGTGTAAATAGTTTAACACTTCTTATGTGACCTGGCTTGCTAACTTCCCCCCCCCCGTGGCCTCAGTTTTGTACCTGCATGGCTACTTGTCAAGAAAACTTCCCCAAGTGTTTTCTTTCCTCTAGTCTAGAGAAACGGTAGTGAATGAAGTCGGGTCCATTCTTAGATATTTGACTTGGTATATATGTGTTGCGTACACTTTTCTGTCATAAAGATAAATTATTATCGTTGTTTCCAATGTTTAACTTTTGTTGCAACATCAATATTTATCATCATCCCTTTCCAGGAAGTCAAAACTGACTCACCAGAGACAGAAACGCTCTCAAATTGACGAGCCGTCTGGACGCGGGGTGTTGCATCTGCTCTCACTGTTGGGAGTCGGTCCGTCTGTCAACTGTTTATTAGTCACTCACTTTATTAGCCAGCGGATAAAAATGCAGGCTTTTGGACACGAGGGGGAATTTTGTCTGGTGAACTTTCCCTACATTTCCAACCCAGTCATTACACTAAGCTTCTGCTGTCAGTCTACGGTCTGCTTGTGCTACATGTGATACAGAGTTTGTACTGACGGCATTCCCTTTTGTCAGCCCTGTTTATTCACTGTGACACCCGGTAGATGGAAAGATATTTGAAATAATGTACAGGGGAACTAGGAAGAGGGTTGGGCAGTAGCCATTATATTGATTATTGCCATACTGGTTATACTATGGTATCTATATTTATGTGAGACAGATGTTTTTGTCGCGGCTGTGGACGCCGCGGCAAACCTGCGATAACTTGTTACGTTGGTGACGTAGAGGCGAGACGTCCTCCAGCTGTCCTTTGGGTCCTGCTGTGTACTAAACACATTAGCTGCACTGATGCTATCTGCTCTGTGGGTGGATGTAAGCAGGGTTGCCAGGTCTGTGTGTCAAAACCAGCACGACAAACCAGCCCAACGGCCAAAAAAGCAGCCCAAAAAAC